TCTTTTTAAATTAATATTTTACTCCTAGGCTGGCAATAAGCATGATGCCAGTGGAGAAATCACATAATAGAATATGGAACCTGAGACTGGTGTTTGTTTCTCTAGGCATCAGAAACATCAGATCTGATGAAAGGAGGAAACACAATTGGCTACAGCCTCCAGAACAAGAGAATAATGCACTACTCCCATGTTTGATGGAAGGGATTCCCATGTATTATACAGTTGGTCCTCCACATTTGTGGCTTTGACTTTTGCAGATTTAATTCATATATTCTCTCTTGGAATCTCTAGGTACTCCAGTGTTGCTGTATGACAAACTTGCATCAGAAGTTGCACTGGAGGATCTAGAGAATCCAAGAGAGAACACTTCTCTAGGGATTTGCAAGTCCTCCAGCACAATTCTATGGTCAACGTCTTGTAGATGCTGACCATAGAGTTGTTCTGGAGGACCTAGAAATTCCCAGAGAGAGGAGTTTGTTCAGGTTTTTTTTAAATTATTCACATTTTTTTCACCTTCATGGGAGTCCTGTGTCTCTAAGGGCCTTGGCAGACGGCTTAAAAAGCCGTCCTCGAGGCAAGGAAGGGGATGCCTCGGTCCCACGGCGCACCTTCCCAGGGTGGCCCCATGCCGCCAGTCTGCTTAGGCTCTAACCCCAGCAAATGTGGAAGGCCCACTGTACATCAAGAAGAAAGCCACCATGGAGTACTGGTTTGAGCATTAGACTACAACTATGGAGATCAGGGTTTTGAATCCCCACGTGGCCATGGACACTCAATGGGTGACCTTGGGCAAGTCACATTCTCTCAGATTTAGAGGAAGGAAAGATAAACCCCCTCTGAATAAATCTTGCCAAGAAAACCCCATGATAAACCTATCAGTTTCATAGTCTCCATAAATCAAAAACATCTTGAAGGGATACCACAAGAACATATATCAAGAAGAGGTACCTGGCATAAGAGTTGCCAAGGCATCCATTTTTTACAAGGTTTTGTGCAGAAATTGAAAGGATATTCAAAGAATCAGGGTAGGAAATGATTTCTCAAGTGATGGGAAACTCCAAAAAAGAGAATCATGCTGAAGCCTTTTTGTTGTTTCCCCTCAAAAATGTGACCTAGACTTGCAGACTTATGTTCCCATCCCCTAGCCCAGACAAACGTGTTTCCTATACTCCCCCAAGATTGCTAAGTAGTTACCCTCAAGAGGGCAGGGACAGAGGAACAAAGAGGATCCCCACTGGTTAGATTTTAATAGTTGGCCTATGATTACAAGGTCAACCTCCAGGACTTGTGGCTTGCGGCTCCAAGAGCTTGCGGCTACAGAATCGATTTCAAGCTCTTACTCCTAGCAAGGA